TTGCCCACAACATGGACACCACATTGCTTCTTGAAAATGACTGTCGAAAAAAATTGAACACAACGTCAACTTCGGACAGTTTATTCACTATTTTGATCACAATACACAATACCTTATTTTAAAATTGGAAAAGACAGCCCCTCTCGTATCTTTTTAATCAAACTTGTTTGGATATATACACGCACACACACACACACACACAAAACCTCTCATCTACGCCCCACCCCCCAATAAACAGACTTCGGATGCAACGTACAAAATCTACAGGAAAAAGGAACTCACAAATCGTCAGCGATGTACTCAGCGGAACGAGTCTTATTAGTTCTCAAAGTGACCGCTTGGTGGCGGTGGCTGACTTTCAATTGTAAACGAAGACTGGTGTACAGTATCCAAAGTACGATATGTTAGCACGTGCGTAAGAAAATAGCTGTGAGAAATAAATTATTTTTGTTATTATGATTGTAACTACTGGTAGTACTATAGTAATCCCTTCCCATCTACGGCTAATCGGCTTTAACGGACCATCGCCTCCCCAATTAGTCCGTTGATGAGAGGTTTTTTATTTTTATTTTATTGTTTAATTGCTCAGTATTAATAAATACATTGAGCTAGTTTGTGAAACAGTTTTAATGTTATATTACTAGGATCCACTTGGATTACATACCAATGGATTTTTTACCTTTACTGTGTGTGTGTGTGTGTGTATGTGTGTATATATATATATACATATCTCCGTGATATACATATGGTGTGGATTATTTCAAGTCCACGGATGAATGAACAATATATACACACACACATTGTCACTCACAGACTGTTTCGCTGTATCACAGCTCATCAGTGTGGCTAGACACCCGATTGTCTCAGGACAGCATCGAAACCTGACTGATTAGATTTTTCCCCCAAGCTATCAGCTCCCGACGGAGAGGAATGTGAATTTTTACGTATTTATTTTTGAATAAACATGCCAGAGTGCTCGATTCATAGAGCTTTTGCATTATCAACAGTAGCAGTCACTGTTTCCAAATTTGCGCTTTCCCTCTAAAGTGCTCGACCGAATTTTATTTTTTCTGGGGCATATATATATGCCCATGTTGGATCCTAGTGTATATAACATTAAAACTGATCCACAAAAAAAACGCAATGTATTTATTAATACGGAGTAATAACCAAACAATAAAATCCAAAATTACCTCGTATAGGCTATTCCCCAAATGAGGTGATTTGGGATTCTATTGTTTGTTAATTGCAAAACAAAATTAAGTGTTTAAATAACTAGATAATAAATTAACGCTCAATTAATCGCAGTTTTTGTCTCGTTCTTTCAAAGATTTTGGCTTTTTTAAAACAAGTTGACCTTCATCTTTGATGATTCATGGCCTGACAATCCCACGTATCTATTGACATTGCGCACCTTAAGATGCCTTTGAGTTTCTCCCTAAAACTGAGGAAAGGTCGACCATTCAACGCTTCAATCAATCAGTTGTCAAAACAAAGACCTGCTTAGGCAAGCGAGTTTTCTATCCTGACAAGATGACCAACCCAGCGCAATTTTGATCAAGATTGCTTCAATGCCTAATATTTTAGAGCAGTTGACAACACTGAATGCTAAAAGATTTGATGTTAGAATAATCTCATGTGAAAGGCATTTAACAGTCTGAAATACCTACAGTAGAGAGTTCAGGCCTTAGCACCACAGAGAATAATGTTACACGGCAGTTCTATACACAAGTCTTAATCTTAAGAGGCGCATTATTTGAACCTCATAGACTGAGATTTAATTTTCCAAATGTTATACCAGCTCTTGCAATGCTATGTTATATTTTTTGTCTATCTTTGAGTCGGTAGAGAATTGAACCAAAAGGAACTTATCAATAGTTTTCAGCTGCTTGCCATCAGCAAATACACAATGCGCATTCGAACACAATGTTGACCTCCTTCCTCTCAAAAGATTAAACATCAGTAAACTAAAAGAGGACGAAATCAAGTACTCTTTTCATGCATCATTTGAAAGAAAATTCTTTGATTGACATCAATGATAATGCCAAGAACTCTATGGCAAACTGGGGCGATGTGCTATGAGTCGGCAAAAGAAACGTTACGGAATTTTCTTTGTAAACAATAAAACTGGTTCGATAATAATGACCTACAAATCTCTTCCCTTCTTGATGAAAGGCACAACGCTCATCGAGCTTGGATGTTTTATAAGAAAACAGCCACATAACACGCACACACACACACACATACATACATATATATATATATATATATATATATATATATATATATATATATATATATATATGTGTGTGTGTGATATTTTGTCTGTACACGTATTTGAACGAATGTCTTTTATTTTTCTTTAAACAGTGAATTTATATGTACCGACTTAGATCAAAAGACTTGGTTATATATATATATATATATATATATATATATATATATTAGTTATTATTATTGTCATAAGCACATATAAATACAACTAAGTATGTTAGTTCTATCACTGATGTTGGGCGCTTTCCAATAAGTACCGCGCATATATAATATAGAAATAAATTTAGAAATTGTGTGTGTGTATATATATATATATATAATATATATATATATATATCTTCGTGAATTTCAATTTAAATCAGAACGCTGCTAAGCGCAGTAACACGAGTAACAAGTACGTTTTGAATTTACAGAAATAGGTATTCGCATTTACAGACAATTTAACCTTCCTGAAGATGGTATCAGATGAGATTGAAAGTAATTAGGAAAAAAAAAATTTTAAGAAAATTTTGGTATTTTTCTTAATCAATTTTCCACAGCTACAAAAAAAATAATTTGTGAAATTGAAAGGATCGAAACCAAAATAGGCGTAACATGTCAAATCTATTTAACCAAACCTGTTTGAATGAAAATATACATACGCACGCACAAATATATCAGTATATGTATATCAGTAATCATCATATTTAGTAGGTACACGTGTTTGAGCTTATCTTTAATTTCACTGTTTCAAGGAAAAAAAAACACGATGTTTACCGACATAGATATTGAAAATCTTAGAAATATATCTATATATATATATATTATATGCGCGGTACTTATTAGAAAGCGCTCAATATCAGAGATAGAGCTAACATATTTTGTTTGTCTGACGATCGCAAAAAACGTGAAACCAAGGGTCAAACAAACTCGCATCAATCCAACCAAATACATATATATATATATATATATATATATATATATATATATGTTGTGTATTTAGGCATATTTTTTTTCCGTGCATTTTCATTAAATAATATAGAGAAGTGTTTGTCTATTTATTTTATGTAAATTCTTTTCATAACGTCTAAGTTTAATAACATTATCATTAAACGAAGAAAGAAAAGATTTTCTTTCTTCGTTTAATGATAATGTTATTAGGCTTATCAGACGTCATGAAAAGATTTTACATAAAATAAATAGATAACACTTGTCTATATTATTTAATTAAACATGTATGAAAAAAAATATATATATATAGTGAATATGAAATTCATTACTGCGTGGCTAGTGTTAGTTTCACGCCTCATGTATGTTTGTTGATCACTTAAAGCGTGAAACTGAACTTGCAGTGTTTAATTCCGTGTTCACACCGCTTCTATCTACAAACTCTGTAGTCTCAATTTGATCATTCTTCTCTCGCAAATGTAGCATATTTTATAGGTGATCTTTATGTAGACTCTTCTCCTGAAGAACATGAGGTTACAGCCTCTTCCAACTCAGCGTTGCCACCGTGGTTTTTGCTGCAAGTAAGGCTCTTATGAGGAAGAGTTGTTGGTCCTACCTCCAACGGTAGATTTTATTTCTCATTCACCTAAACTGGATGTCAACTAAAGTTATCAAGTCCAGTCGATCTTATCACTTTTACTACCACTCTGCCTGAGAATTTTGAGCTTCTAGGATCGAACATAGCGAGTGAATCTGTTTGGACTTTACTAACTACACCTTCAGGTCTAGTCGCCCCACAATACATTATATTTACTAAGCTTACTCCCGTACGACCCAAGGACACGATTTTGAGGTGCCGTTGAGGATTAAACAAGCTCTGGGAAGGAAGCATGTGTAGTGGGGTCTTATGAAAAATTAGCACCACTGCGAGAAATTAAAAAAAAATTACGAAATATAACAAGACTAAAATTGTAGCGCACTCAGAATTTACTAAAAAGGACTGGTCTGACAGAATTGCTTGTTAGTTTTTCCTCTATGAGAGGCAATCCAGAAATATATATTTAGGTTTACTACAGGGGAAAAACAGGAATCACCTACTTACTGAGTCTTGGGAAATGTTTAGAAGATTAAGGAAAAATAAGGAATAAGGTGGTTGGTAAAATGGCAACGGTTATTTTGATCAGCAAAGGACAGGATTTTGTGAAGAGAGAGAAATGATCGACAGCGTCCTGAAAGGACATATAAAAGAAGTTTAACCAAGTCTGCTATAAGGTCATAAGAACTAAATTCACTCGCGACTAGCTCGTTATCCATTGCTCCACGGAGAGGCGTTCAATGTGATTCACTTGCAAGCAAAGCTTTGCTTCTTGAAATCTAACAGCACTTTATAACGTATCGGGGTCTGCATTGAGAAAACGTGCAAACAGATTTGGTCGATGAATGCGATGTCCAACCTTCTTAAATGCACGGCAGAGGAGGGAGCATGAGAAGAAAATACGATACTGATTTATGGTGAGATGCCGTGAGTAGAGAAACGAAACCACAAATGAGATTGAGGGGAGGGGAAGGGGGAAATGGAACCGAACAAATGAAGTAAATCGAATCCGGTTTAAAAGCCCAATAACAGAAATCTCGGGACAGCATCCGATAATCTAATCAGGTTTGAATTAGCGAAGCAGCGGATATTTGAAAGTCATGGCACAAGGATATCTTGCCGAGTTTTATCTTGATTTGATTCACTAGCTGCAAATAGTAAAGAAGTGGCGAAACAGGGAAAGAAAAGTAATGAAATAGTCAACAGGGAATAAAGGAAAAAAATGTCGAAGGATGGAAGAGGTGATAGATGGATAATGAAGGAGAGAGGGGAGGAGGAGGAGTAGTAGTAGTAGTAGAAGAAGAAACCAGGAAATTGAGATGAGACGGAGGGGAAGGAAGGAAAGAAAATAGGAATAGAAGTTGAAAAATAAGATGTAAAGAAGGATTAAAAATGAACTAAAACCAAAGTATATTAAAAAAATAAAGAAAAACCAATGAAAAGAAAAGGCAGGAGAAATAGTAAAATGAATTAACGGGAAGAAGTTGAGTTTGAGCGAGAAAGGTGCGGTAACAAGACGTGACATCAAAGGAAAACGAGAAGGAAGAAAGAATAGAAAAGATGGGAAGAAAAGAAAGGGAAAGAATTAACAAGAGATGGAGTAAAAGATAAAGAAAGGATAGTTCGGAAAGTGGGGAGTAAGAGAAAAAAGAAAGATGGACTTAGAAAGACAGGGAAAGAAAAGGAAGCATAGATGGAAAAAAGAGAAATGAATAAGTAATAAGAGGAAAAGAGATTGAGGAAGAAAATAGGGTGAAATATAATAGAACCTGAAGAGATAGGTTGGGAAAGGATGGAAGTGATAAAGAGGAAAGAAGAAAAAGGAGTGCTAGTGGGAGAAGAGGGAAAAAGGAGAAAGAATAATAAAAGGAGGGAAGGTGTTAATAATGGAAGACAAGAGAAACTTAATAAATATTAGAAGATGAGAATGAGGGAGAAAATAAATGAAAAAAAAAGTAGATGGAGGGAGAACGGAGTGGAAAAGGAATAAAAGGACGAAGAGATGATGGGAAAAAATGAGGAAAGAACTGATAGAGAAAGGTTAGGAAAGAAATAATCGAAAGGAGGAGTGGGTGTACCAAGAAATAAAAGGTAAAGGGAGGATAAGATATACGTAGAAGAAAGGAAGAAATAAGTAATATGATGAGAACGTAGGGAGAATTAAAACGAGAAAAGTACTAGGACAATAGGAGGAGGGAGGGATATGATAAAAGGCGGGGGAAATAAATATTAGAAGTTTAACAAATAGTGAGAAGTAAGGTAAAAGAAAATGATTAAGAAGAGGTTAAGGGAGTAAGAAAGCGAAAGAAAAAAAAATAATAGCTGTAATAGAATCGCTGGGGAAATGAATTGTAAAAGAAGGAAAGTTGGGAGAAAGAGGACAGTAATAGGCGGAGATGAAAAGATAGGAGAAATAAGGGAAAATAGAGTAGAAGAGATTGAGGGGGGAAAGAAGAGCAAGGAACACGGGATAGAATAAGAGTTGGGGAATAAAGAGCAAGGAATATGTAATAGAAAAAGAGCAAGGAGCAGGTAACAGAACAGATGGAGGAGGGAAAGAAGGGCAAGGAGCAGGTAACAGAACAGATGGAGGAGGGAAAGAAGGGCAAGGAGCAGGTAACAGAACAGATGGAGGAGGGAAAGAAGGGCAAGGAGCAGGTAACAGAACAGATGGAAGAGGGAAAGAAGGGCAAGGAGCACGTAATAGATAATGGCTGAAAGTACGAGAAGGAAAAAGTGGCGGGAGGGGAAGAAAGAAAAGTTAAGTAACAGAAAGAGGGTGAAAAGCGGAGAAGGAGAGATAGATAAATAAAAAGGTCATAGACGAGATTCAAGGATGAATGGAAAGAGTTATCAGAGGAGAAATGAAAGAAAGGTGGGGTACGACAGTGCAAAGAAATAAAAATAAAAAGCAAGAAAGAACGAAAGAAATGGAGACAGAAAAAAAAGAATGCACGAAAAATATGAAAAAGCTTATAAGTAAAACCAGAATGAATCTTGAATGTCGTAAGGTAAAAAGGAAAAAAAAATTGAAAGAAAAGTAATGGAGCCGATCAAGGAGAGTAAGAGGGGAAAGAATATTAAAATAAGGAATAGCAAAATATCAATTGAAATAAAAATGTAAATAAGCAGAATACTTATTGAGAATGAAAGATAAATGAGAAAAATGCATAAAGAAAAACGAAAAATTCATTGAAAGAAATAAAAGAAAAGAAAGACGTAATAGGAATGAAAGGAAAAGGAAGAAAGACGTAATAAAAATGAATGAAAGACGTAACAGGAGGAAGAGAAAAGAAAGGAAAACGTATTAGGAGCGAACCAATGAAAGACGTAATAGAAAGGAAGGAAAGAAAGAAAATATCAGTGATGTCGGAAGCATGAAAAGAAAAAAGGAAACTAGAAAAAGAACGAATGCAAAAACAAAACTGAAAGGAAATTAAGACAGAAAATTGATAAGAGAAAAACGAAAGAATGTAGAAAAAAAATGAACCAAGAATTGAATAAACAAGGAAAAAACACAAGACTCAGAAAAAAAATATTAAAAAAATAATTTTTGCCGAGATTCGTACTCTTATTTTTGAGAGACAATCTAAAACGAACGTTTCATTACCGATTTGGCCTCTTGATTTGTCAAACCACCAAGGCACTGTTAAATATAGTGTTGTTATTACATTCTTTCTGGTCTGATATCTGCCCGGCAATTTTTGATTTCCAATCCATGTTGCTTACATAGTGGCCATAAAATATAAGAACAACAATAAGAAAAACTAGCCAAAAATTAATAATGATGCTTTGTCTAAGGAATTCGGAAAACTTATGACATCTTTCAAAGCAAGTGGCTGCAATGGAACAATATGGCAGATGTTTATATTGATATTGTGATTCTATTCAAGATGTCTGCTTTTTTCCCCTTTTATGTAGGTCATATTTATCCCTCTTCTGAGTACGTGGTTAGAGCGTTCGCTTTGCGGCTATGGTACACGGGTTCGAATCCAACCATGGTCGATTTGTCAGGAAGGTGATTTCTTGATGTTAACATCCTGGAGAGGCAATCCCAGCGTGCGACACCTTTGGGGAAATATATGAAAACCATACCACCGGTTGACGCAAACGGGAAATTGGGTAGACTGAAATATTTAGAGGTCGTCGTTGGGTGTGCTAGCATGAAGTCACAAGTGATCGTGACCGAGGCTTTGAGCGTATTGTTATGTTCAAAGTGTTAATCACGCCATATAATGCGCTCCGTCCCAGAAACTGAACTATGGACCGATCAGCATAGTTGCTGTATAAACCACATGTAGGATCTGTGTATATTGAACAAATATAAATGTCTGAGCAGGTGTCTGCAATAGGGATTCGCTAGCCGCCCTAACAGACAGACATACTCGGATACGAACAGCCAGGCATTACTATTTAACCTATTTCTGAGCGAATACAACGGTCTGAACAGGTACCTGAAAACAAATTAGTATTGTTTAGTATATTCTATAACTTAAATTATCTTTGGAAGAAAATCAAATTTTCTAAGAGTTTTGACTGTTTTCAAAACCAGAAGAATATTTAGAAGGTCCTGATAGACTGGGTAACTGCTTGTAAAGATCAATTTTCTTCAACCAAATCAGATAAATTGCTTCGTGGCTGCGTATTTCCGAGCAACGTCAGTCATTGATGTTCGAACTCTGATAAAAGTTAAGATTACCTGTGTTCATTTTCAAAACTGGTTAGAAAGGTATCTACAATATTGGTGCAACCCACTTTTTTGGTCTACTAACTCCAGGTTGAAACCTGTAACTGACAAAACAAATCAGATTGTGGGTGGGTCCCAATTTAAACTTTTTAGTCTTTCTTCACTAATGCAATGAATAAATGAAGCGAAACTATATTTACGCCACTCGTCAGGCGAAGTTTATTTTCAAAGGTCTTGCATGGTTGGTTTATTTGTTTGTGCAATTTTCTATCATTTTGTTTCTATTGACTTCAATCGATAAATCCACTAATCATCTTCAGCAAATGTCTTCATGACAAACGATATTCGTTGTCGATCAAAACTCTAAGTCAGTAAATCATTCTGTTTCGATCACTTCCTTTTTGATCGGCGAATCTCCCGCAGTCTGGATAAGTGCATAGCTGGAAAAATGTAGTCATTCTAATATGTTATGAATCTTCGACATATGAGTGTCAAGCAGATCAGTTTCCAGGAAGCCGACAGCTCGACACCGGCACATGAGATTTGATTATAGTTGTGAAGGTTTCGTGCAGGACCATCCACACTTTTTGAAGGGACGAATACAGAGACCCGGTGCACTAAGTGCCACAAGATTCCCAAACGACCCTCCGCAGGTTTTGAATTCAGAGTTGTCCTTCTCCTAGACCAGTTGCCATCCAAGGCTATTAGAACCCAGTCTGTCCTTCTATTTTACCCATAGCTGGAGGGAGAGGATTCATACCTTTCCCAAGGGTATTAGCTCGGCTCTGCGATTCCTCGTGTGTGTGTATACGAGTTTAAGATCAAATTCACATCAACTATGTATCGGAATCCTCAAATCAGATCAAATATGTATTAGATTTCTCTATTTCTGAGGAAGCTTTAATAAAAGTGAAATATATCAGATTGATATACGTTTCCTATTTATTTTATCATATATATATATATATATATATATATATATAAAGAAAGAACAGTAAGATATAAAATCCGGTGTTCTTATAGATATTTTTATTTTTACAAAATAGTGCTCAATGTAAATTTACAGAGCATTAATATGGTTGGAACTGTGTAGCGAAAAAAAACATATTTTAAATCAATTAATTTATTATATATATATATATATATATATATATATATATATATATATATATATATATATATATATATATATATATATATATATATATATATATATTTAGGTAGCAAGAATATATTAAATCAAGTTTTGTGAAAGTCAACCCAATTATTTGGTGCACATCCAAATTAAAACTGAGTAAATTGTCCAAAAGTCATGCTTTCTTCCGTTTTTGTTCGAGTACTTTTGAGCTCCGCAGTTATTATCAGGTGTTCAAGATTTTCGGTGTTGTGGATAAGATTTTGTTGGCTATATAAACAACTTAAATTTTGCGAAAAGTGCTCAGTTTTGTAGATAGTCTTTGTAGGTATTGTGCAAATAGAAATCAACAAATTTTACCTTTTAGGTGATCGTAAAACCGCATGATCGATGAAGGCGGGATTTTACAGTTACCACAAGGTGTTGATTTCTACGTATAAATTGTATATAATGTTTCTTTTATCTAAAGTGTTATCTTCCATTCAATGTACTTGATTAAATATATTTCAATCTAAAGGGTTGTCTTTAATTTTAATGTCTATCGTTTTAATTATTTCTTATTAAAATAATAGCAGTTTATAGGCGAATTAAATAGAAGTGCGATATATACACATGGATAGACAGCGAGGTAAGAACAGACCTGGATGGATGGATAGATAAATGACTTAGATGTATAGATACATGGAAACACTTAAATATAGAGATACATGGATAGGTATATTGTGTTAATAAGTTAACATTTTTACTCATACTTATGGGTAATATTGAAAACCTGGAGATGACGGTTAGTTTGTTGTAAAAAGATAGCAATCTGTACAAACAAGTATTTATTTTAAAATGCACCTACGGTGTAACCTTTACTTTTCTTTGTCAAATTTCGTAAAGGTTTTGAAGAAAAAAATGAAAGGACATTAACTATACAAAATTTCTCTCTGGCAATTCAAAATTATCGCCCTTGTGTTTAGTTGTTCGCAATGAGTTTTTTACATTTAAAAAGGTGTAACCAAAACGATAGTGTCATTATTTTTTTAACAACGTCTGGTATCAAGTAGTGATTTTCAGTTATGAAGGTGGTCAGACGGATGTGAAAGTCGCTTTGTATCTGTGATTTATAGCACAGAATATCCGACATGGCTCATATTCATGACAATGTCTAGAAAGGTTCATTTTCAAGTAATATATAAAACTCGCTGGCCTTCTTATTTATCGCCACTCGCTTTTCTGCAATAAATCTATGATTTGCTAAACTTCAAGCAGACAGAACGTCTGGTTTCAAATCACGAATATTGTACGTAAGTTAAAACAATATCAAGTCACAGACCAAAGGTAGTAAATACACCATCCACCACAAATATAGTCTTGTACTAGATATGGTATTCTCTCTGGTATCAAGATTCTTATAGTTAGCTCTTTCGATTTTAATTATATATATATAAGATGTTGTAACAGGGGTACTAAGGAAATTGAAGCACCATTTCAGCCATTGGTCAGACACGGAAGTACCTTGTCGGCCATATTGTTATGTGGGACTAAAAAGCAGAAGTATCACTCCTGCTGGCAAAGAAGTAACAAGACTGAACTGTGTTGTCGTTATCATTACAAACTCCCTTCCAAGTTGTGAATATATATATATATATATATATATATATATATATATATATATATATATATAAAAGGCTTAAACACTAATATTCCATGGTCATAATTTATTCCATTGGAATCGTAAACACTATCCAATTCATCAGACCGAAAAATTCAAATATATACATACACGAGATCTGATATATATACATATACACACAAACACGAGATCTGATCAAAATTATCGGTACTGTTGCTATGGTAATGGAACTAAAATACGCAGGGTGAAGACGCTTGGCACAGATTGACCTTCAACTCTCTCGCTCATACTGATTGTCATAACGTTCTCGCTCACTTCTATTGTTTATCGCAGAGCTTGACAGTGAAGTGGGTAGAGTAGTTATCAGACCATACCACGGAGATGCCATCAGTGACCATCGCTTTCACAGCAGATTTTCGCGGAGCACAACCTTCCCCAGGTCCGGCAAACACCATATTCACCAGATGTCATCCCTTGCGAATTTTTTTTTCCTTTTCAAAAATCAAATCTCACTTGAACAAGATTTCAAGACGTTGAAGAAATGCGAAAGAATGTAACGAGGCAGCTGCACGTTATCCGAAAAAAAGGAGTTTCAGGAATTCTTCAATCAATGGAAGCAACGCTGGATGAAATCTGGGGCTTCAGAAGGAAATTACTTCGAAGGAGATTAAATGCCGAATTAATGTTTTCTAGTTTTATTTTGTGTCACTTTTTGACCAGAGCTCTTATATGCCCCAGGAAAATATCTGTTTATAAATAAAGAAAAGCAGGAAGGAGGCATTAGAGAGGAAGGAAGGAAAAGAGGAATGGGGGGAATTGGAAAGAAAGCAAGTTACAAGGAAGGAAGGAAGGAAGGAAGGAAGACAAATTGGAAAGAAAGGAAGGGGTAAAGGAAGAAAAATGTGAAAGAAAGGTTACAAGAGAAGGAGGAAGGAAAAGAGAAAGAATATTATGAAATAAGGGAGCAAAGAAAAAGAAAAGGCTGAGTGGTATTAAGGAAGGAAGGGTAAATGGAAAGTGGAAAAATAGGAAGGATGAAAGACGTTTTGAAAGGAAAGAAGAAAGAAAGGATGAATTAATATAAACAAATGAAGGGAAGGAAAAGCAATAAATGAAATTGTGTGAAGCTGAGAAGGAAAGAACGAAGAAAGCAATTATTTAAGCAATGATAAAACTATTAAAATAAAATTAATGTGTTCATCTTTTCTCTCTATCATTTTATATATATATATATATATATATATATATATATATATAAATTAAACCTAGAGTTAGACAAACCTACCAGATTTCACCTAAGCGGATCGTCAGGAAGGCCGGCTTCCCTGACGATCCGCTTAGGGTGAAACCTTGGTAGGTTTGTCTGACTCCTGTAGGTTTAACTAGGTCTGTTTCTACTGTATTGAGCACTTTATTTAGTTGATTTGCGTGCTCGTATCGTTTTTTTTTTCTTTTTTTGGACTTGTATACTAGACGATTATATTCGGCTAACATACATGTTCTTTCTTTTTTTAATACCCTTTTTTCCCTTTGGTATTGATTTGATTATTTGCAAATCAAGACACCGAAGGTTTTTCGAACGAGTATAGTTTCTTACACTTATAAGATTAATATATTAATAATATATTCCAAGAAATGTCTCCAAATAAAATACCGTTGTTAATTTCTCCATATCTTTTTTTTTTTTTTTTTTTTTTTTTATAACTTCACCCCAAGCAAGACAGGGATGCCATTATTATGCAGAGGATTACAAAAAGTGAAAGTGAGAGAAAATACTGAGAATAAGGAGGATTGAGAAAATGACGGCAGGTGAATGGGATTCAAGAAGATCGAAGATGGAGATTTACGTTGCATTTAAATTTTTGAAGATTGTAGTGATCAAGGAAGCAAGTAAAAGGAAGTGAGTTCCACAGTCGGGAAGTTTGGTTTATTTTATGGCATATCAAACTCAATGAGTAATTTAATGCCGACAAATTTTTTTTATTGTTGGGAATACATTTCCCCCCAAATGTATTCCTCGTAATATATTTATTGCTGGTAATACTTTTTCCCTCAAAAATTTATTGCTGGTAATATTTTTACAGTGTTTTGGTATTAAAAACCTATTTTTACACTTTTATAGTCTTTTAACCTCAGTTTGGGGGTTAACTGTTTGCCCATAGATGGGGCGGTAACAAGTGCTTCCACCCCGTGTGGGTGGACCTAAGACACCAGCAATTAAGAGGTGGTTCCACGCTCCTCAAAACCTCCTAAGCAGAGGCTATGCCGTTGGACGTAGATTATCGTTTTATCCAGGACGGGCAGTCGGGGAATGCTAGAAAATAAACTGTTGGAGTAGAAGTGGCGGTTAAATTTACCCATTTCATCAGTAAATGGGTGGGACCAGATGCCAATCTAATAGCATGTAATCGCGGGACCAGGGCAAGCAGATTGTCAGAAAGGTGATATGATGTAATATACATACACCTGTGTTCCCCCTCACTGTAATATGATTGGCTGGTGTCCGTCATAAATACCGACGGACGTGTAGGTACGACAGCCAAGAGCCTTAGTCTGAGAGCTAAATCTATAACGACGCCCATTGGACTCCGCCATTGATCTACACTTCTTACCTGCGACTACGACGCGTACCAGTCGATTACTGCTACCATATTCTACTTGGTTATAGTAGCCATAACCACTTAGCTACTTCGTTCAAATATATCCCTTTCCGGGACATATCAAAAGGTTACCATGAAAATATTTGTACAAAACGCAGAAACCACGGCACATCATTAAGTGAGAAGCCATGTCTATTACATTACAGATCTTTCTGTGGATATTACATACTAAAAACAAAGAGTCTTTGTTTTCAGAAAGAGGTTGATGATATTTATCGAAGATCTGAAGAAATCATTAACCCTTATTTGGTTCGTTCATTCGTTACTTAACTTCCTTCCCGTCATCCCTCTATTCTGACATTCATTTTCCTTATTCCCTTCCTTCCAGCTCACATTTTTTCTTCTTGCCTTGTTCCCTAATTTCCTCTTCTCAAAATTATGTTTGAATGTATGAGTCGCTATAAAAACACGTTGGACAGCAGAACAAAATAGTCATCCCAACCACTTTCACATATGAGCTCACGTATGAGGTCTTTACTTTCATCTTGGAAAAGACGTGAACTTAATCGTCCTTGACTGTGTTTGTTCGCTAGCTACTTTGTCGCAAATCTCATCGATGGTTAACGTTGAACAATATTACCTTCTCAGAAAGTTGTTCCAAACATTGTGAACTTTGACAGGGACGTGTCATAAGGTATAAGCATACGAAATTGAGATAAAATCAGTTCTCGTGTTTCATGTTAGACAAATATTTCTGCGCTTCATATGACACAAGATCAACCACAAAAGCGACTCTCCGACAGAAAATAAAACGCTCGCCACAGCGGAAGACTTCAGTTTTTCCTTAATCCTTGGTCTCCACAGAGAAGACATAACCATGCCTTGTTGTTAAGCAGACGTTCCCTGAGGCATTCCCACTTTCTGAATGTTTTACTCCTGTACCAGCATAGTCGCAGTTATATATTCACCGCAGCACACCCACTTCACTCTGTTTACCTCTTGCACACAATGTTTTCGCTTGAAAATGGGCCAATTGTGATTTCTTTAATGACTTCAAAGAGACTGAGAGTCTCTTCTAAAGAGTCTAGAAGTCATTGTACTTTTGGACCTGGTCGGTTTCGTCCAGAATTTGGCAACTTAACTCGCAAACAACAAAAATCCTCAAATAAGGACGGCTAAATGTTTCAAGGTGAATCCAAAATCAATTTTTGTTCTTTTACTATTCAATTACCTATAATATAAATGCAGTTAGAACGGTATTTTTGTGGAAGATGGCGTTATTTTATTTCTTTTGTAAGTTAAGAAATACGTGACGCAACACTACAGATAACATAACTCAAATGCCTTAAGAGAACACGAGCATACTATATATATATATATATATATATATATATATATATATATATATAAAGCTCTTATCTCCTATCGGGCGGCATTTATGCTACCTCCTGCAGAAGGCTCTTCAAGTGAGGAATAGATGCGATAGGCAACAATAAACTACAGAACTCAAAATTGATCGCTGCATTTAAGTATTGTGTTAATATTTAACTTACCTTTTATTTATTTATTTATTTATTTATTTATTTATATATATATATATATATACTAGCAGTAGAGTCCGGCGTTGCCCGGGGATGTAACGGTAAGAGATAGATCAAGTATCGACCATCATAAAGACTGAAAAATAAAATTGACAAAGATTATTGTTTAAGGTTGACGGGCACGCATGTCTTAGTTTTTTTTTTTTCTTTTTTGTTTTTTACGAATTGGTCAAACTCGAACAAAAACATTGTTTTCAATCGTTATGAGTCTACCGATTGAATAGAATTTTATTATAAACAACTGTCTTGTAAATGGAATTTTAAAGCATTCTGAATGTAAAAATAAAGAAAAAAGTGTGCAAGACAATAAGAAACACTACCTGCCAAAAAAAAAGTGAAGTTGTGTTGAAATCGGTTGAAACACACACACACACACACACACACACACACACACACACAACCTGGGTTTTATAATAAGTATAACTCGATATTAATAAGCATAACTAGATATGAGTTGTCCCCCTTTCATTAATGCCTCTTAATCGTGTTTTCAAATTGATTTCGTGCAAAAACAATTGTTTTTCCAATTTTGGGCGCTGTCAGAACCCCCGCAAGGTAATTTTACGTAGTCCTGTGAAGTTTTGTTGAAATCGGTTGAAAAATGTAGGAAATCCGATCCAATATATAAACGTACAGACACACACAATCGGCGTTTTATAAGATATATATAAAACGCTAAAAGACAATAAGAAAATTGTATTAGCCGACGTATTTCGTCCAATGTGGACGTTTTAAGGCAAAAACGAAATAAACACATTAACTCTGAGAAATTTTTCATATATATATATATTGAGAGAATGGAAGAAAAAACAGTGCCCACCATTTGTTTAATACTTTTGGTTATCGCTAGATATTTTATTAATAGTGTGGATTGGCATTTAAATGAATTGTAGTTTAATTCTGTGTTTGAATTTAGGCCCAGATAAATAGTTAAGATTGAAAATGAGAATTTCAAATTTTAATTTAAAAACGGACGCTGTTATAAAATTAATAATTTCAAGATCAATGTGTGTAACTCTTTTTTTGTGCGTGTGTGTGTAAAAAAATCAATAATGAAAGTAATAAACAATAAAATGAAAACATAAATAATAAATAAATAAAAAATAATACTAATAAAACAAAAATTGCTGATAGACTAAATGTAAGATAAAAACAACAATACTAATAATGATTATATAGTAAAAATAGTAATATGATGCTAAAAATAATATTGGCATGAATGTTAAATGCATTACAGTCTAATAATAACAGTAACAAAAGATATATAGTAAAAATATTAAAAATTAATCATTACGATAATAATAATATACTAGTATTTGTAGTACCCCGGCCTGGCTACACTATATTAATATGGGTGAACGTGCTCTAGTAGAATTTGGTTCTGTGCAAGCAGGTGCTCATTAACTCACTTCTCTTGTTTAAGAGATTTGGACTGTTCATATTTTTTTAGGATTATTAATTTTTCAGAAAGACATAAGTTACAACTGTCGCCTTTTCCGCTAAAGGGTTTAGGTTTCGTTATACATTCCCAGGTGATCCTTTTGTTTTTATTCTCGCTTTTCAGTTTCCATAAAAATTTAGTGCAGTTCTGTTACTATATATAATACTACCTAATGTCATTTAGTGGTGGAAGAAGCACAATTTCCGTTAGTTTTCCGTAGAGCCCATATAAAACTTGCCCTAGTCGTCATATTTGATTTCAGCTTTAGAGACCAAGTATTTGGTCATACATCTGCCGTGTAATAGGCAGGGTTTGTTTTTTCGGCAGTTGTACTCCTTAGTTGTGGGGTTACTGTTTAGTAGGTTGTTGAAGTGTTTGTTCAGAATGGGACAATTGTGCTGTGATATATACTAGTTGATGTTTTCGGCACAACTATAGCTAACTTTAACATTGTCTTTATTGAAAATCTTATCCAGCGTTGGGCA